TCAATATCAACTTTCTATATATAGCTCATTCACAATAACTCGTCAAAAATAATCACGGTAAAAGCTTAATAACAAACATACAGCATTAGAATACTATGAGCACGTGTAAAGAGTAAGTACTTTGGAATTCCTGGCACGGACCCGCCAAGTAGTACTCGATAAGGAATCAACTACGGAGTGGAACACCTGGACACCCTGGACTTCCACATCCAACACCTGGACACAGGAAACTACAAAGCGGAATACCTGGACACCCTGGACTTCCACATCCAGTACCTAGATACAAGAAACTACGGAGAGGAACACCTGAACACCCTGAACTTCCACGTCTGACACCTAGATGCAGGAAACTATGGAGCGGAACACCTGGACACCCTGGACTTCCATATCCAGTACTTAGATACAAGAAACTACGGAGTGGAACACCTGGACACCCTGGACTTCCACATCCAACACCTGGACACAGGAAACTACAAAGCGGAATACCTGGACACCCTGGACTTCCACATCCAGTACCTAGATACAAGAAACTACGGAGTGTCAGTAACTTTTTCTCATGTATACCGGTTAATAAGATATTTCGTTCCAAACACAGGTATAAGTGTTGACTCAAGTAAAGAGTCTCGGCGAGCTGTGTCCTGTACAGCCGGTTGCCTGTACTTGGCGCGAGACTCGACCGAGTCTCTTGATCAATAACATAACTTTTTCAAATTGCGCTTGCGCACAAACCTGTCCTGTGGGTGACTAAACGGAATTGAAGAAATTGGGGATAGACCATTACATAATTGTGCAATTTTACGGAAGGAGAAATCTAGATGTGTCTACTACCTGAAATTGCCTACGACACCGAGGTATAATTTCACGGAAGCGCCAATTTTACCTCAGGCTATACTATTGATAAAAATGCTACAGTAGAACTCCGATTAACCCTTTGAAGCATGGTGACTCAATTTTATGAAAATCTAATGAAAATGTGTATCTAGGGTTTCTTGCGGTTGCTGATTAGAAATCCGTGGTATACATCCCATACTTTTCAAATTTCAGCAGCCGCCATATTGAATCCGCTATTTTGAATTTTGAAAATCTAATAACAGATTCGTAATCAGCAACCCCAAAATCCCATGTATACCAAATTGTTTAAAAATCCTATTATTAGAAAAATGTATGCTTCAAAGAGTTAACCGGAATCGGCTTGTCAGGGGAGGGGTTGAACCGTGCGTCTTCCAGCGCCTCGGCATCTCCCGTGAGCGACGAGACAGCGCGATTAGGCGAAGCGCGAGACATATCTGATTTTGAAATACGGTCATTGCCTCAGTGCTTGAACCGTCACGAGTTTAAATTTGTTAAAATACATGAGTTCATGTGCAGTACACTGAAATTGTACTAGCCGGAACAATGAATTACGTTTATAATTCGAATCAACCGGGGATTCAGATAATCGGAGTTCCATTGTAATTTCTATTTTGTATATTTAATAAGTTCCCAAATGAACCTAAAGAAATTGAAATGATCATTTGTTTTATTCAAACAAACAAAAAAATCTTAAATATTATCCATGTTTCCCGCTTTTAAACCAGAATAGCACCTTAAGAAACTCAATTTAAATAACAAATCATGAAACCTAATATCAATGATTATCCATGCAAGACTACTAAATGGTATATTATATGATTTACAATGTTACTTACGGATCCTTAACACGTTGATTCAATTTTGAAAGCCCAAGATATTCGGAAAGTTCTTGGAATAATATTTTTATAAATATTCGACTTGAGCTCGTAGTATCCTCCTCGTTTAATTTTACGCAAGATAAAACTTCCCACGATATTGAATCGGTGAATAATAGATGTGCGAAGAATTTGGATACATTTCTTAATTTATTTGTATCAAGTCGGTGTATCGTATCATAAGAGTCCTTGAATATTTGTTCAAATGGTGTCACGTATATTTTGTTGATTGCACAAAATCTCTGGAACATAAATATTGGCAATATATAATTAGTACATTTAAATCCAAGCAAAGAGGAATCGTATATTATGTATTATGACGTAAATAATTTATACGGTGCAGCTATGAGTCAATCTTTACCAGTAGGCTCATTCGAATGGGAAGAAAATTTTGAACAATTAGATATTTGCAATATTCCCGATGACTCTCTTACAGGTTACATATTCGAAATTGATTTGGAGTATCCTGTCGAGCTTCAAGAGCTTCATAAAGATTTGCCACTCTGTCCGCAACAATACACTCCTCCAGGCTCTAAAAATTCGAAATTGATAACTTCGCTCCTCCCTAAAAATAGATACGTCATTCATTATAAGAATTTGAAACAGTGTTTGAGATTAGGTCTAAAGTTAACAAAAACTCATCGTGTTCTAAAATTTAAACAGGCACCGTGGCTCAAAAAGTATATAGAATTGAACACCGAAATGAGAAAAAAAATCGAATAATGATTTTGAAAAAAATTTTTATAAACTTATGAACAATTCGGTTTTCGGAAAAACAATGGAAAATGTCAGAAAACAAAAGGACGTTAGATTGGTTACTAGGTGGGACGGAGCGTATGGAGCAAAGGCTCTGATTGCAAAACCAAATTTTCATAGCTGCACCGTATTTGATGAAGAATTATACCAAATATCATAGTAGAATATCATATAGAATGTATCATAGTAGCCAAGTATCATAGTAGAATTAAATCGAACAAAAATTAAATTCAATAAACCGATATACGCAGGATTTTCCATTCTAGACATTTCTAAAACGTACATATACGATTTTCACTACAACTACATGAAAAATACTTTTAGTGATAGAGCTAAATTGATGTATACCGACACCGATAGTCTAATATACTACTTTACAGTTCCAAATATATATGAGTATATTAAACGCGACTTAGATAAATTTAACACCTCAGACTACCCTCCGGATAACGTGTATGATATACCATTGGCAAATAAAAAAGTATTAGGATTAATAAAGGATGAAAATAATGGAAAAATTATGATTGAATTTGTAGAATTGCGAGCAAAATTATACTCTTTCAAAATTTTAGGTGAAAAAAAAGATAAAAAACGCGCGAAAGGAGTCAAGGCCTCCACATTGAAAACAATTACCTTTAATGATTATATTCAATGTCTTTTGCACCATAAAAATTTAATGAAATGTCAAAATTTAATGCAAAGTAAAAAACATAAAGTTCATACCGTACAACAGAGAAAAATAGCACTGAGCTGGAATGACAACAAGAGGGTCATTCTTTCTGGTACGACCGACACCCTACCGTGGGGTTATAGAATGTAAGATGTATATAATGTAATTATATAAGATGTAATGTACAAATGTAAAAATTGAAAATAAAGACAACGTGTGCTTTACGTTATTGCATATAACTTGATCCTTCAATGCAACGCCAGCTCCTAACCATCTGGATTGTTCCTTCTATGCGTTATCTTAATAAATAATTCTCAGAAGTCGCTAACACTCTTTGTCACATAGAGAGGTAGAGGTAGGGAGCACGCTTTAAAAATGACGCTTGCACCCGCTACGACTCACAAGGAAACCCCCCCAACCCGACCCCACCGATTTCAATAATTTTTTGATATGTTGTAGTACTCGACAAAATAAGAGACCTAGCAGTAGCAGCAGCAGCAGCAGCTGTAGCAGCAGCAGCAGCATTATAATAATGTACTAAATGAAAAAAAGAATACTATATATATATTGTAACGCAACAGAGCGTATTTTTATTTTATTTCATTA